TTGAAGGAAATAGTAGGATGGATTTTGATTGGTATTAAGAACCTGCAGTCATGGGTCTCTGAGCGCAAAAGCCTAGAAGAGAGTTTGAGACAGGGAGGTACAAACAAAGGAAAGATTTCAGGTGAGGAAAGAATGAAAGAATTGAAGTTAAAGGCTAGGTCTCAATCTAAAGAAAAATTGAAACATGAAGTATTGCCTGTAGATACTATGGAATTGGCAGAGAGAGCCGTGATCAGATACGTTCAGCAACAGCATTTCTCTAGAGAGATCATCGCTTTGCAAAAGGATCAAGTGGTTAGCAAGTCTAGTAAACTTTGCAAATTGAATCCAGTGATGAGTGGTGGACTTTTGAGAATCGGAGATCGTTTAGGTAAAGCTGAACTTTTATATGATGTCAAACATCCAGTAGTCCTTCCTAAAGAGTCGCCTGTATCGAATCTGATTCTACAACAAATACATAAAGATGTAGGACATATGGGGAGAAATCTCATGTTAGCTACTTTAAGACAAAGGTATTGATTCTTCAAGCTAATGCTGCTGCAAGACAGATCATATCTAAATGTGTTATTTGTCGACATTACAGAGCAAAAACAGGTGAACCAATGATGGCATATCTGCCAAGAGAGCGACTCACAGCTGATGAACCACCATTTACGAACACAGGAGTAGACTACATTTGGGACCTATCTTAGTGAAACGATGTATAATTAAACGTTGATGGTGTAGTATTTACATGCTTGAACATAAGGGCTATACATATAGAAGTAGCGCAGTCTTTAGACACTGACTCGTGCATAAATGCAGTGAAAAGCAAGAAGAGGTAGCGCCAAGGTTTTACGCTCAGATAATGGTACAAATTTTATTGGTGCAGAACGAGAACTTCGTCAAGCAATTAATGATTGGAACCATACCAAAATAGAACAAGCAGTGAGGCAGAAGAACATAATCTGGCAGTTACAATCCACCTTTTGCTTCTCACTTCGGCGGTGTATGGGAACGCCAGATCCGTACTATACGCAAGATTCTATTCTCATTGTTGAATGAACAGACCATTCATTTAGACGATAAAGCGTTACATACGCTATTCTGTGAAATAGAGGATATAATAAATAGTAGACCTATTACCAAGGTTTCAGAGGATCCT